TAATATAATTTGGATATTAAATATTTAAAGATTTATTCAAATTATATTTTTATAATTTAAATTATTTTAAAATATTTTAAAACTATTCAAATTATTTTAAAATATTTATAATGTTTAAAATATATTAAAAATTCAAATACAAATTTACTTTTGTAATAAATAATTAATTTTATATAGTTTACTTCATTTTGATTTATTTTAAAATATTTTAATATTTTAAAATATTTACAATATAGAATATAACTAATTTTAACTGATAGTTAAATAACCACGTTAATGTTTAAGCTTTTGTAACTTAAAGCCAAATTTTAATTTAAAGGTTAAGGTTAGTATTATATTAAGATTAGATACATAAATATATGCAAATTTGTAAGCTAAAAACTTTTACTTAAAAACCCAAAGTAGGTTTACATAGTAAAATTTTGTAATATTTAAAGATTTTGGTTTTTTTTTAATTTTTTAATTTTTAACTATCTTTTTTGTTATACAAGATTCTGTGATTTGATTGATTAATCATATATACGAGTTATATAACCAGAGGGCAAGTTAGCAATATTCTACAATATAATATTTAATTTAATATTAACTTTTATACTTTTTTAATTGTAGTGATATCAATATTTATAAAGCTACTGTAATTGATAGAATACATTATTTAGATTTGGGATTATTTAAATACCAAATTAATTTTATATTTGATTTTTTAAAAGAACAATATGGTGCTTCAATTCTTGATAAAGTTTAGATTAGCTAATATTCTAAGGTTTCTGGAACTTAAGATTTTTAAAAAAGAAATTCAATCTCTTGCAAGAATTACTGCAAATGAATATCATAATCTTATGATAGTTATAATATTTGTTTTGGATAATCTAAATATTAGTAAATCAATAAACAAAAAGTTATTAAAGTTTTATAAAGATTGAAATAATATATATATTTTAAGTTGATATGAGGAATTTATTGATAATGAATTAAATAATTTTGAGGTAAGTAATATTTTCGCAACATTGCGAACTTATCTAAAATATTTTAAAAATATTATTTAAATAATTTTATCAACAAATATTAATATAGTTTTATTTTATTTAGAATCTAATAATAAATTAGACTCAACAATTTATTAGTTTTTTTAATATATATTCAGAATTAAAGTTTTTAAAATTATATTCATGGATCTATCATACTGTACTACTGATTTAATTAAAAAATATAGTTCTTTAAATAGATTTTCTACTAAAACTTATGAAGTCTTCATAAAAATTTTGTTAAAAAACTACCATAGTGCACTGCCTAAAGTATCTCTCATTTGTAGTACTCCCTTATAAGATACCCGGATATATTACATAGCATTTTTTTTTTTCACTAAGAATAATACCCGGGTACTTTATAATTATTTTTTGATAGAAGTTTGTATAAGACCCAGGTATTTACAGTATATATCTTATTGCAAGAAAATCGATTAGAATCCTATGCAGCCCACACAATAAAATTTATTGTTAGATATTAATACACTTGTTACATCTTTAATATATCTAGTATGTACTTTATTTTTTTAATTTCATTCTGGTATGTGCATGTCTCTAATTCAATCAACAGTTTTGACCAGATAAGAATACAATTAATTACTTTGTATTTGTTGTTTACAAATTTCTAGAAATGATATTATTATGTACAACAATGTCTTCAAATTTCTGAAACCAAGATTAGATTTGTAATGTTAAAATAACTAAACTATTGTATAACTTAATATATAGCAAAAGTCAACTTGTATAAATAGTTTCTGGATTGTTTGATAATTGGGTCTTGCTATTTAACTTGATCAATTATTAATCACAATATATTTTTTTTTAGCTAAGTAAACAATTTTTTTTTTTGTAAAAAAAAAAAAAAAGTTTAAAAAAATCTAACCGTTTATATTGAGTAAATGCTTTATGCTAATTTCAATCCCTTTATTATAACGATAACTAATATTATATATTCAGCCAGCGTTTTCCATCTAGGAAGATTTTTGATAGAAATATTTTTTGGCTTCAATTCTTTTACAATTTCTGCTATAATATATTCCAATTTTTTGATAATAAATAGATGTCTTGTTTTAACTACAATTCTATTTTAATAATAATAGCCAACACTAAATATAGCTTTAGTGTTCCCAATCTTAGTAATTATACCTTATATTCATCTTTTTTCTATTGTATCAGGAGTGTTATTACAAAAAATAAGACCTTGAGTATTATTGCATGAATTAATATGAAAAATAGGTCTTGCGCAATCTTGTGATCTTTATAATTAAATTATCCACAGAAAAATTTTAATAATATTAAGTAACTCCTTTCATTCAAATTTATATAAAAAAACAATGCATACCTAGTTAATCCTAATCTTATACAATATTTAATTCTTCATCTTCCTCATAATGTTCATCATAAACTAAGCTACCTTCATCTGTATTAAAATCTTCTTCATCACTTTTATTGCTTTCATCTTGACTTTCAATTCTTCTTCTTGGATTTGTTTCAATTATGACTCATGAATAATCAAAAATAAGGTCATCTTCTGTTCTATCAGTTGTGTTTGAAATTCTACAACACTTGAACGATCTTCTAATCATATCAGGATCAATAGCCTCCCAAGCTTCCTTAACCCAAGTAGCAGCCAAAAGATATAAGAGATGTTTTATTTTTCCTGATTTAGTATATTTCTTAATACTTTCATCGAATCATCGATCATAAAGCTTTTGCATCTATTTAAAAAGATATTTAAAAATGAATCAATAAAACAATTAATGCAACTGGACTTAAACTCATCATACATTAGGGTAACACTAAGAGAAAACTAGCCTTTAATCATATAAATTTTATATGATTAAAGTTTGATTTCTCTTTGCATCACCTATTCTTAGACTTAACAATTTCCAATATCTCTTAATATTAAATTTAGTATTAAATAGATAATGAATTTAAACTTAAAATACAACTAGAAATTGGATATACAGTTATACTTAGGTTATATCACCTCTTTTTTCTCCATATTTTTTAATTTTGTTGGAGATATAACTAAGGTTGATATATAGTAACTCAATATATAAAATATATAAAAAAAAAAAATTTATTTTGTTTAAATATAGGGGAAAGAACTAAGATAATAAATAAGTAGGAATATAACTCAATAGAGATATGACCCAGATATAACTATATAATTAAAAATGTAGAAATAAAAAATAGATAAACATATAAAATAGTTAGTTTACTTTGCTTTAAATAACTTATTTATATAGACATCAAGAGGTTGCAAGCGAGATATTAGGCCACTAGGAATTAAGGCTAAATCAGCATTTTTTCAAAAAATGTTGTTTAACAGAATCTGTTTTATGACCAGCAAATAAATCCAAGATCAACAAAGAATACAGATTATTTCCACATTGTGCTCATCTAGTCCAAATATTCTCCACCCACCACAACATCTTATCTTTATTCATCTACCCTGAAAGGTTAGCACGTACAATAACATCATCAGGAAAGTTTTCACGAAGCATATTCACTAACTTGAAAATAATTACAGGTGGAAGTTTAGTGCTATCAGCCAAACAAGCCAGCACGATAGTAAAATTTGAATTTTCATGTCTGGTTGATGCAATTGATATAGTTTTGGTTCTTTTTTCCTCAATTGTAGTGTTGCTCATCATATTAAAAGCTACAGCAGTTTCATCTATATTAGCAATGAGTGACAAAAGGTAATTGTATTTATGCTATTTGAAAAGTACAAGAGACAAAAACTCACTTTGTTCATTGGCATAATCTTCAGGAAGGTATTGAGCAATAGTTGTATATCTTCTATTTACTAAATTATTTCTTAACAAGAAACCATCTACCCACTTTTGTGAAAATTTATGGTTTCCAACTCCTTGGTATTGGTTCTGATAACAGGATATAGCAAAAAGAGAACAGGCTTTCACTTGGATCATATATCGGCTAATAGTTTTTTGTTGAAATCTAGCATCTCAAAACTATTCAATTAACTTAGCTTTGAGTTCAGAAAATTTTGGCTTTGCCTCAGACATCAATTTTTGGATATGCAGTGCAATCTTCATAAGGTCTAACTTTTTACTAATCTACTTCCAAAGTTGCTTCAGTTCTATTTCAAATTCATTAGTGGTTAAGCGTTTACTATGTCCCTTTTCATGATATATAATTATCATCAACTTCTTGCGGACCAACTATGATCTTTTTTTTTGTTACTCGAGCACGACGAGCTTTGAAATTTCCACAAACCATTATACAGACAAAAATCTATATAAAGTATTATAATCACATTAATAAATTTATTAATATATGATAGTACAATAATAAGCGTTTATTATACCCTCAGACTAAAACTTGAATAATTCAAATAAACCTATATCTTACCCTAATCTTAACACGCTAACCTTAAATCCACAGATAGTATAACCTACTGGTATATTATTATAAATATATTTATATCATTTGCTTTTCTTTTTTTTTAATCCTATATAACTTCTTTTGTACTTATGACTATACTACTATATACAACACCAGACAAAAATTATTCAACTGTTTGTTATAATTGCTGTGAGTATTAGTGTGCTAGTGGTATTGGTTTTGTGGTACTGGCTTTGTGATACTGGCTTTGGCAATATTGGCTTTGGCAGATTGGCTTTGGCAGATTAGCTTTGGCGATATTAGCTTTAGTGGTTGATTTTGGTGGTATTAGCCTTGGTGGTATTGGCTTGATACCAGTAAAACCAGTATTAATAAAAGTGTGTTAGTGATTCAGTTATCATTATTTGAACAAAAAAAATTTTTTCTAAAGATCGATTTTAGTAACTCATTAATTTTTATATTACTCATATTATACTATAATATATCGTATAAGATATCCCCCATATAAAATATCTCCAATACATAATACCTCCAATACATAACAGTGTTAGGTTATAACTTTAAATGACCAATATGACCTATATAACCTTTATGACTTTTTGGTCATAATAAAAATTGATATAACTTTATGATCTTTAAAGTAATAAAATAATAGAAAATTTTGAAGAACTATTTGAATATTTGTCAGATAAAGGAATTTGTTATAGACAGATATTTGTTATATATATTTTTTTTAAATTTTTCAAAATATTAAATATTAAATATTTAATTTTTAGATATATTTATTAATCAAACTTGATATTACTGAAGGTAATTTGCAAAATCTCATATTAATTTGGTGATATGACTTTAGATCTTCTAAGTATTCATATTATTATAATTGTTCTAGACTTAAAAAAACTAATTTATAAGGATGTGGCAACTTAGTAAAGTGATGAAGTTGTTATACTCCAAGCAGTTGAGTACAAGTTTAATTTCTACTGAAAATAAAAATTAAATTAGGAAAACAGATTTGGCAACTATTGTTGTAGCCAGAAAAACTCAAGACTCTGTAACTGTGATTGTACTAATTTATCAGAACTAGGAGATTCTAAGCCTTTGTATAATAAAGAAATTATACAAATATATACAAGTATTGCAGAAAGTCACAGGACCAATATAGCAATAGGGCACTCACTTGGCAAGACCTGAATAGAGAGATAGCACAGATTTTTAATAGTACTATGTAAAGAATCATCATTAGTGAAATGACAAAAACTAAACAAGACCAAGTATTTGGCAGATACTCCACTAACCAGGCTACTAGAAAAAACTAAAGAAAAAGGATCTAATTATAAAACCAAAGCAGGTTATAGCCCTTCTGGGCTATCTGAATTGGTAGTTTGGGATTGGCACAAATAATGAGTAATAGTCTGTAAGTGTATACCAGGGTTTGGGTAAACTCTATAAGGGCAGAAGTAGGTTGTGTAGTAGTGATCAGGTTATAGTTAGTTAAATATTACGAAAAAACTAGTAAAAACAAAATAGCCAGAGAATACTTCTATTATAAAAGCTAGCTACAAGTGATGAGCCTCAGCTGTGTATATCAACTAAAGCCTAGATCAGCCGAATTGTGGGTATGAAAAGCTCTAACAGGTTAGGTTATAGATAAATTAGTTTAAGTCTTAGTAGTATATAAAATATATATATAAAATAGTAACTAATAGGAGTGTTATAACTTATATATATATAATAAAAACTAGAGCTGTAACCTTATTAAAAAAAAAAAAAAAAAA